GTAAAAGCATACTAAAAATATCAGTTTACTAAGTAAATTCATCCAAAGCAATCGAATCAAATATACAATATTATTAAAAATTAAAGGAAATAATTTTCATAACCAATTATGTAGGTGTTACAAAATTGATTCTATCCTCCGTGAATCTGTTTTTTCTTTCAATTTTATGCAACGGATAGCGCTTTAATCATCAAACACCTCTGTTTGCGTTTTATAATTGTTCATTAATTTGCTATTTAAAAACCTATCCACCGTGAAGTGTAATATCTCAGTAAGTAGATTTTTTTATAAATATTTTATGTAAGTACAATTGTATTTTTAAAATATATTAAGGTGTCAAAAGATACAATAACTTATTTCAAATATACAAAGGGATGTTTAAAAAAACATACGAAATTCTAACCTCCGTGAAGCTATCTTCCGTGAAGGTCTAATATTCAAAATGTATGATTTCTTAAAATTTTTGCATTACTAACAGTAAAACAATCAAAAATAAAAAATAATCATTTTCACATCTCAATATATTCACCCATTTTCACTTTTCAGGGTAATCATTATTATTCGAATTACTCACAAAAAAGTGTAATTTTTAATCATCTTGATGATTCAATACCCGGTTTTGCTTACTGCGGTTTTAGCATTGAAATTTGATCAATTTGCATTACATTGACATTCCCAGAGAGAATGTTAACCACAAAAGAAGAAAAAAATAAACCGTTTTATTAAATGTTGTTTGATACAAAACACTGTTGAGCGTTGTGGTAACATAATAAGGTTAAGTGAGTGACTTTATTATTGATTGTTTCAATTTCATGGAGCAACAGTTATTCTACAATGGATCGTAAAACTCATTGTAGTCGGTTTTAAAATTTATACATCATCATTTTATCAGTTAACTTTGTTTTTATGCAGATGCATTTGGGTTAAATATCGCTCAGCCGTGACTGTGGCCTTAATTTATACTTCTATACAGGTGTTAAACTATTGTTTTATGGAGATCTATTGACAATACTATATACAGTTTTGCAATGGTAACAAAATTTTTGTTATATCCCTTAAAAAGAGGGGGAAAGGGCCAGCGCTCTCCTTGGTGAACATAACTTTATAATCCACAGTCTGTGTTATAATCTTATTGATTACACTTGTGCGAGTGAAGTGTGGTAAAATCTAGCATGATAAAGATCACTAAGAAAATAAAAATTTCGACGTTTTCAAAAAAAAATATTTAAGGTCTATTCTATAAACGAAGCAGACTTGTTGTTTAAAAAGTGAGTTCGTATTTTGCTTGTACAAAAATGTCAAAAGTATCTTTTATTAAAACTGTTACAAAATAGCGTTTTGCCTGGCATTTTGTAAAAACTTGCGAACATCAACCACTATTTTTTTAAAAAACAGGTGATCCGCATAAACTCTGAAACCGCAAACTGAGATATTTTATCAAAATTCTTCTCATCGATAATTTCGTTTTTACCAGTCTCAATTTTCTACCTTGTTGATCTGGGTTAATGAGTTTAATTGAAAAAGCAATTTCAGCGTTTCCCATCTTTCTACGCGTATAAAAACACATTAAACTGTGTGATTATCGCGCTTAAATCGACGCCAGACAGTCTGCAAATTTATTTATCGGATAAAAAAGCGCATCTGTGCTTTGTACTTTGTTAAAGGAGTTAAAGGAAATTTAAACATGAAGATCAAATTTTTTTTGCTTAAATTGACTTTTGGTTGGATTTTTATAAATGTTTAGAGTTTTGTTTACTTACATTTAAGACAGGCAGTCCACTTTTTAATTTTTTTTTACGTTTTTTTCAGATAAATGTGTTTAGCTATAGCTATAGCTTTAAATATCTGTGTGTTATCAATTTGAAATCCAAAATTTAATTCAATAAAAAATGGTCATAAAGATAATTTGAAATAAAATGTACTTAGTTCACAAACTTTTGACTCCAATTTTTTATTTTATTTTTTATTAAAAATTGTATGCTTTTTTTAAATATGTATGTTCGTTAACTAACTTTTTAAAAGAAACCATTCCGATTTTTGTTAAAAAAACAATACCATTAATATTTTCTTTTAGTCACTGTATTAGTGAGTTAAACTCTAATTTATAAACACGTATTACCAAGTGATAGTGTATAAAAATCAAGTATTTTTTTAACAAAAACTAAAAAAAGTAACGAAATAGACATTGCTATCACAACGGACTGGGGTACACAAAGGACTTAATCAGATAACGTAAAAAAGAAACTATATAGGGTGGTACGATTTTAGAGTAATGCATAAACAAAATCCCTTGTAGTGGTGCTCACTTGCAGAATAACAATCTAGATTTCTAAATTGTAGACACCCTTTTTTTTACTATAAGCTGGTCCCTTTTAGTACTTGTATATTGCGTGGAATTTTCCCTTGGATGTAATTTATATCATGAGTTGTAATCACAAATAATTTTAAATTGGTTTATCATAACCTACTTTAAAAAAAGCGACGGTAAATAACCACTTTGTTGTCGAAAAATTCTATTGCGTTTCCCTAAATTCCATTGCGTTACCATAAGGTAACATAAGTTTTGTGAAACCATATTTAAAAAATATAAAATAAGACATTACAGTAATTAATTACTCTCAATGAGCTTTAGTGCCCTAAAATAAACATAAAAATGAAAAATAGTATTTTTTCTTACCTTATTTTTATTATTTTTTTGAGTAACTTAGCGGACAAACAATTATTACATTCGCGTTACCCGCACCTGTTTCAACCGATATCTTCTTCCTGATTGAATAAATAAATTCAGCTGGTGTTTGTCCGAACATCATTTGTTGATTAGGTGAATGCCAAAATATATGTTTTTTAAAATATTCTATCGGTAACGCAACGGACGTAACGCAACAGAAAAATGTCTGGGACATGAGTGAAATTTAAAAAAAGTAGATTAAAATTAATTATTTTATATATAAATTGTTTACTGTATTAACTAAGGATGTTATGGATTGCTATAAAGCAACACAAAGTTCTGGTTATTCAATATGAAAAAAAACATGTATGTAAGTTTTATAAAACGCTAATGGGACATGCAAAAATGTGTGTTTCACAAGTTTCAAAATTAAAAAAAATTATTTTGAAATAACTAAACTACTACTAAGGGCTTGTTAGGCTTTCACTTGGTTTTTAAATCAAAAAGATCCGATAATTCTTAAAAATTAAAAAAATACTTTTTGTTGTCACAAAAACTGTACTTTAAACTGGACAAATTACAAATTAAATGAACCAGATAACATTTTCTTATACCATCTATTAGTTTTTAATTATCGGCCTTTTAAAACTTGTCGGATATAATGATACACTTAACAGTTAAAATGAAAAACCTCCTTCATCGTGAACGGTAGTTTGTAATGACGCAACAAGAGAAAATAATTCTCGATACGACACGAGTTCAGTTTCCTCTAGAAAACAACAAATTGTTATAAAAGTTGTGGCTATCTTTAGAACAATTACTATATTTTATATTGAAAACAAATATCCATATACCATAAGAAAGCTTCCTATCTGGTAGTTATGTTCATTGAGCTGGATAAATAATAGCTATGTGTAATACAGTGTATATTATACAGTAGAATAGCATTCAGGTTATTGATATCTCACATTGTTAGAGTGTCAATTAAGTAAAACTAACTTATTTAACAAGGCTAGAAGTGTATCAAAAGCAATCATATATCAAATGTAGGTTAGTCTAGGAAAGTTAATTTAGACCAACATAAAAATCGTTATGATGTTAAAGAGTTTTGTAAAAGTTTTACTTAGTTCAAAGTCTATTGACAAGTTATGCCCATAACTTACTTTGTTGGAGTGAAATTGGATTTATTAGGATTGATGTTAATAGTTATTTATGGTAATAGTTATGTTGAAAATAAGTCACGCGAGAAAAATTTATAATGACTTGATAGTGACTTTTTTACATTTTGGTCAAAGTAGGTTGTTTGTTTGGTTGCCACGGGCATGATACATTGTTAGCAAATGTTTAAATAATTTTGACACTTGTTAGTTTTCCCTGCAGAAACAGAAACCTTTTTTGAAGAAAAAAACGCACAGAAAATGGAGAAAACCGATGAAAATTACGTTCCTGAGGATATCCTTACGGAAGCGGAAGAAGCAGCGATGCAGATTTTGCCAGAAAAGTCCCGAGATGCTTACGACAAGGAGTTCAAAATGTTTGAGTCTTGGATGAATTCACGGAAGATAAAAGGTATCGATGAAAATGTTCTATAGGATTATTTTTTACATTTGCAAAAAAAATTAGCCCCATCGTCGCTATGGACCACATACTCGATGCTTCGCTCGACTATTCACCTTTATAAAAAATCGACATTTCAAAATATGGCAAACTAACGAGCTTTTTGAAAAGCAAATCACAGGGATACAAACCAAAGAAGTCCAAGACATTAGAACGACCTGAAATAGAGAAGTTTTTGAACGAAGCTCCCGACGACGAGTACCTGTTGATGAAAGTGGCTTTGATAATGGAGATTAGCGGTACTTGTAGATGCGATGAATTGGTCAATTTGAAAATAGAAAATATTCAAGACAAAGGGAAATATTTTCACGTAGTTTTGCCAGACACTAAAACCAAGAAATTGAGAAGTTTCACCATACTTGGAGAAGGATTTCCAGTCAACCCGATCAATTTGGGTAAAAATACATGTCTTTGAGACCAAAGAATACTAGTTCTAGCCGAAGATACCTTCAAGAATTGCAATGTTTTTGAAATTGGAGAAACCAGCGCTCTACACCGGTCACTGCCTGAGAAGGTCTTCGGCGACTCTTTTGGCAAATGCAGGGGCTAACACGACTACTTTGAAGCGTCACGGAGGATGGAAGTCCTCGACGGAAGCAGAAGGATACCTAGAAGAATCGGTGCATAACAAAATACAAATTGCAGAAAAAATACAAGGTTCTAATTACGACAATCAAGTTGACACTTAATGACATTTTCGTTGTGACAATCCAAAATGTTTCAAAGACTTGTCCTATTAAGAAGATTTCTGTCTAAGAAGCCGCCCAAGCCTGGAAAACCCAAAAAATCCTTCCAGGAAACCGCCTACGATCTGGCAGGTTTTAACAAGTATGGACTGATGAGAGACGACCTTCTGGACGAAACGGATCACGATGTACAGGAGGCTCTTACACGTTTGGACCCTGACGAGTACGATTGCAGGGTGTTTCGCATTTTAAGGGCGACTCAGTTGTCGCTTCGTCACGAATATCTGCCCAAAAGCGAGTGGACCAAGTTTGAAGACGATTATTTTTATTTGACCTCCATCATCAAAGAACTGCACCAAGAGCAGAGCGAAAGAAAGGCTTGGGAAAGTAAATTTTAGAGTGAGAATAGAAAAGAAAATATGCTAAAATAACTTCTTATGAAATAATACAAGGCATTATTTATTTTTGTTTAAAATTATAATAGGTAATTAAAGAAAAAAGTAGTACTTGTATTTCTGTTAATTAAATTTCTGTCAACTAACCAATTTTTTCGTTTTTTTTTCAACGATTAAGATGTACTATGCTCCACCACGTTGGCATTTAAGGCTTTTCAGGTTATGTATCTGTCAAAGTATAGTGAATGTAAGAAATAATATTTATAGTGTTATCGCTTATGTATAAGCGTTAAAAGTTAATACATCTTTATAGTATCACAATAACAATGGTTGGTTTAAGAATTTAGGAATATGAATACTGCATTTAATGAAATTCCAAAGTGTAAGGTGCAATATAAGTGATATTTTTGTGCATTGAGTCTACATTTCTCCATAAAATATTTTTAACTTCTCTATTATGAAATAAGAATATCTGTATCAAAGGTAGGTTAATGTAAGGTTAGAAAAATCTATTTTGTTCCAAATAAATAAGTGGATTATTTGGAAGAATGTATATATATAAATAAATTGTTGAATATGGTTCAAATTAAATTGAAGCTTTTATACTTCTAACGACAAAACTTGTGCATACCTCTCGGCATACTTACTTTAAGTTAGATTATAAGAAATCAAAAATTTTTTAGATAAACTTGCAATGTGAAAATATTTAATACTCCCATGACATGTGATTTATTAAAATTTTTAAAGTTATAATGATTTTTCGATGTAGATCAAATACAGTCGAAGCTTTTTAACAATTTGTATTGACAAAACTTTATGTAGGTACACTTTAAGCTGGATAAGAAAAACTACCACATTTTTAAATACCATATTATACAGTCTTTTAAATAATCCAAAATACTTATTTATTTTGGTCAAAATTAATTTTTCTACCCTTAAAATTACAAAATTAGATGTTATTTTTGTTATAATATATTAACCTACCTTTAAAACAGATATTCTTATTCCATAATGGAGAAGCTAGATTTTTTTAAATAAATGCTGTTTAGTTAAAATTATTTTATGGAGAAAACCAGATATTTGGAACAAATGCACAAAAATATTACTTATTTGGCACCATACACTTTAGAATTTCATTAAATGCAGTATTTATATTCTTAAATTCTTAAACCATCCATTGTTATTCTAATGTTATAAAGATTTATACATTTTTAACGCCTAAACATAATATTATTTCTTTCGTTGACTATACTTTGACAGATACATAACCTGAAAAGCCTTAAATGCCAAATTTTCAAAAGACTGCGTTCCGTACGTGGTCACGTGGTGGGAATTTGAGGTGTGGAGCATAGTACAAAATAAAAAAATATGAACTCACTTTTTAAACAAGTCTGCTTCGTTTATGGAATAGACCTTAAATATTTTCTGAGTGATCTTTTTGATATTTTTATCATGCTAGATTTTACCACACTTCACTCGCACAAGTGAAATCAATAATATTATAACACAGACTGTGGATTATAAAGTTATGTTCACCAAGGAGAGCACTGGTCCTTTTCCCCTCTTTTTAAGGGAAATAACAAGAATTTTGTTACCATTGCAAAACGATAGTAAATATTAAAAAAGCATTACAAATTTTTAAAATCTTAGTATGCAAATACCTTTGTTTAATTCTGGACACAAAAAAGCAAACACAGGCGAAAGAATCAAGAGAGCCCTGTAAATCTGCACTCTAGATAAAGCAGCAGTCAAAGGCAGCGCGATTCTTTACAAGTGTGTTAAAGACGCAGTTAACATAAAGATGTGACAGTTGAAGTAGTAAGGTAAATCGTGCACCTGTTTAAAGAACGAACAACGAAGTAGGTCGACATAAAGACTGGAATTTTAAAATGCACTCTAGATAAGCCGTCAACTCATATTCGGACCGAGGCATTAAAATTTTTAATGTAAGAAATTTTTTACATTAAAAATTAAGTATTAACTCAGATATTAGATAATGGGTCTTGACCCATTACTGGTAACATTCACGTGATGTTCTTACATCTCGCTTCTGTTGGCTTACCAACGCAGTATATAAGCTGTCTGTCGGTATTTGAAGTTGGTGGAACGCACTCAACCCAAAAATCTTTTCTTTCTTACGATTTTATTAGGCTAATAGATTGTACAAAACGCTGAAAATGGGTGGCCATAAAGATTTTAATACTTAAATTAAATTTCTAAAACCGCTTTTTTTACGGACCTAATGTTCCCCAAGTACTCCTTAAAAGGTGCAGTAAATCTGTACGATGTTGATTAAGTTCATTATTTTTAATACCAGTAAAATGCCGTTAGGCGCACATTTTTCCAACTCAATTTGAATATTATTTTAAAAGGCACTGTGGCTTAAATCAATTTTCTACCGAAGAAATTAACAAGTTTTCTGTTGTGTTAAATTTATTTTGTATTTCCAAAATATGCTTAAACTTTTCCTTTAATAAATTAATACATTGCATTAAATAATAGTAGATTGTTCTGCAAGTAAAGAAAAGTGAGAGTTTTCCAGTGAGTGAAAAAGGTTGCTTCCATCTAAGTCAAAAGAAAAATATGATAAAACAATGTCAGCATCGTCATTATGGTCAACATATTCGATGCTGAAGAGTACGTTGCAAATATATGAAGGCAGTGACATTTCAAAATACAAGCAATTAATTGCATTTTTGAAAAAACAGAATAAAGGATATGAACCTAAAAAGTCAAAAGTGTCAATTGAACAAATTATGAAGTTTATAAATGCCGCTTCGAATGCAGGGGAAGAATTACGAACACTAACAATTAACGATATAGAAGAGAATGAATCAGTTATTATCGTAACACTAAGTAATACAAAAACGAAAAAAAAGTGAGTTTTACCATAACTTCGGAAGCGAACGGAATTGAGTTGTATCGGAAGTATCGCAAATTAAGGCCACAAAACACGAATCATTCCAGATTTTTAGTTTGTTACCGGAATGGTAAATGCACTGTGCAACCGGTGGGGATCAACTCATTTTATAGTTTGCTGAATATTTGAAGCTTCCTGATTCCAATAGCTGCACAGGGCATTGTATGCGAAGGAGTGCAGCTACCATGTTGGTTGATAATTGGGGCAGTATCCCTGATTTGAAAAGACTGGGGGATGGTATTCAACATCTGCTGAGGGTTATATAGGAGAAAGCATTCAAAATAAAATTCAAACATCGAAGAAAATTTTTAGAGGCTGCAATCAACAGGAAGCTTCAGATGATGACTCTTGGCAGCACTTATCCTCATCAAGTTCAACTATCATGGATGTTTCATTTTCCAAAAGTACAAATATATATAATTGTACATTTAACATTTATGTTTATAAACATAAAAATTGTGAATAATTTTTTTTCGTTAAATCTCATATTTGTGTGTATGGTTTTGTTGCTAAGGAGTCAAATGTTGCTAACTATAAAAGTGTTTCTAACCAAAGACATTATCCAAATTTATTTTAAAGACTTTCTGTTTTTTAAGCCATCTCTTATCGAAAAAATATTCTCTAGCATTAACATGTTCGTAAAAACCAAATTTTTTGAAATTTTCTGAAAAATAATATCTATTCGTATTTTACATTAAAATTATTTCATCATGGCGGAGCAATATTTTCTAATTTAAATGGCGGTTTCAGTTATAAAACAATGTACTCTTGCAAACAACTGCTAAAAAGTTTAATTGCTTTAAAAAGTGGTTGCAACTATTTGTTAAAACTAATAAGCCCTAGGACTGCCTTTTTCAAGGCAATCATAAAACCAATTGGAATTTTGTGCGAGCATTTTAAAACAACTTTGCAGTATTTTCATCAAAAGTATCGCCATCAGGGCTATGATGCTTTGTCAGATGATATCACCTAAACATTGTCTTAATTGCTGAGTTGGAATGATGCGGATTTAGCTCTTGGTTGGAACAGGACGTTGAAGGAATACAATAAGGATGTTTTGCCAACAACACAAAAGAACAACTTTTAACAGCTCTTACAGTAGCCAACTTTGTTTTTCTATAAAAATTTCCACTTTTTTAACTTTTAACCACCGCTCTAAAAAACTCCTCATGCATGGCGGCGACATGTTGACAAGAGTTATTTTCTTCGCGATTAACAAGACAAAAACGTTTTAATAAAGAAATAATAGTAACAAAATGGTTTACACTGGAAAGCAAATTGGTTGTATTAAAGACGTATTGCTGCTCTACTAGGAACAATCATAAAACCATTTTACTGTTTGGTTCTGTAACATTCTTGCATAGAGGAAAAGTATTCCTAAGACCAAATATAATAAAGAAGTAAAAAAGCAATGAGGAACAACTGGATGTTTCCGCGTGGTTCTCTTGTTGGTTGCGGTTAAACGCAAAAAGCAATTTTCAGACTTTATAGCCAAGACCAAGAAGAAGAAGAAGAAGAAGAGTAGAGATAGGAATCGCGTTGGCCATTAAAAGCGCATTTCCATCCCGCCGTCTTAATAAACAGGTTAATTCTCTGAGCACAACTCGCGAAAATTTCCGCACAACACGAATGCAAATCCACGCGTAATTTCAGTGATTAAGTATTGGTATTAGGAAAAATGCAAATTATTTTCCACCTTTAATGACTTCGCATGCGCTCGGGTACCGTAAGGTCAACATTTGTGTATGTTCGGAAATGCCAACGTTTTTCCTTTAACTTTACCTTAATTTAACTCTTGTTGTTTGCTTGTATGCTTGCAATTAAGGTACAACGTGAGAATTTTGCTAATTGCCGCTAGTTTCTCTCTGTTCTGTGTAATATATTTTATTGATATCTCTTCGCGTTCGTGTACACTGCAGTGAAACTTGAGGAAGTTTGTCTGCAGAGAATGCTCTCTAAAAATGAATTGACTGCTAAATGTCCTGGATACAAATTGCTGTTGACGAGAATTATTAGTGGCTGCTTTTTCGCTATGACATTTTTGACTAATTCATTTTTAGAAAGTAAGTAAATAGTGATTTCT